TGTTGAACACTGAAGTTTGAATTTTAGTATTATCCAACATTGCAAGGAGGAATAGGGTTGCCCAGACAAACTTTATAGGTCTCACAACAAACTTGGATTTTTAATAAACTTTCCAGCACAAATATTTTGTTGAAGACTATCACAATCTGGATGAAAAGTGAGTTAAACTAAGGAATACACTAACACAAAATGTGGCAACTCTCTCTGCCTGTGTAAAGGATACTTTGTTCGGTTAACATTCTTCCTGTGAAACATTCGTGCCAGCTTGTCGAACTTCTTTCTTGTACCTGAAGATTAGCAAAATGATGAAAAGTAATTAATAACATATTACAGTATTTAAAAAAAAAAACATGTACAGTTGAACTTGTATTAAGAAGCACTGTATTAAGTCACCCTGTATTAAACAGTTGGTTGTCAAAGTTCCAAAATTTTTCCCTCTTAAGTATTGTAATTTTAACCTATTTTTTTTTTAAGCAGTCAACCCCTATAAAGTAGTTGTGGTCACCCTTGACTAATTCATACCTTTATTGATAAGTCACTTAAAGCAGAACTACAAATAATCTCTTGAGTCAAATTTATTCTCAAAATCAGTGTTAGCACTTTAAGTTTGAATTTATGCAAGGTCTTGCAGATTATCTTTCTTCTTTGGACTGTTGGGACAACTACATGATTGTATTATATAAAAACAACACCCATGTAATTTGCCAGTTAACCTGTATTAATCCTTTACACACTAACATCATTATGCATATTCTCCATACAGTTCCCTATACATTCTCTAAGGTGCTGATGAGGAGAATCTGTTTCATAATCCAGAACTTTTCTCGTGGGTGACCATTTCCTTTATTCTCATTACCTTAATATGTGATTTGTGGGTGATATTGTAAGGAGAAATTAGATGCTAGTCACTCTTAGGAGTTAAAGGATTCAGCCCTCAACCTGTATTAAAGGGTCACCCCAACATTCCCCAAGGGTGACTGCTTAGGAGTTTGACTGTAATGTAGCTTGTTTGATTCCTCACAGGAATTTCTTTAGCACGCACAGGATCAACAATGGCTTTTTTCCAGGAGTGAAAAATGCTTCAGTCATTTCTGTCCAGCCCTATGCTTCTTTAATCCTTTAACTTCCAATAGTGATTAACATGCAACTTCCCTTTATAATATCCATTCATTATCCAGCAAACAGGTAATGAGAATACTCAAACTTATCAGGTAGAAATTGTTATCTTGATCTAACACCAAATTCTTTGAACTAATTTACAAGGAAATGTGTAGCAGCTAGAGGGGAGAATGAACAACTAGATATTGGGAGGTTAGGGGTTAAATATTGAAAACACAGTGCTTACTCTTTCCCATGTGCTTTAACTTCTCCCTCAAGACAGCATCATCATGTGGGGAGGCTGAATCTGCAGCTGGTGCTGAGTGTCCACCAACTGCTCCAGCAGTCTCTGAGCTCCCAGGCAACACTTGTGTTGGAGTCTGAGGTTGAGGTGCATGCCTACTACTGTTACTTCCTCCAGCTGCGACTGGAACATTTCTGGATGGGGCTTCTACTGGTGCTGTGCGAGAGGACAGTACAAATGCATTTAAAATCATACCAAGTACAACAATCTGTGAGAGATAATCTAGTCTTGGTTCTAAACTGAAATATAAAATAATGTAATGCAAACAAGTATGTCCAATACTATGGATCAGTACGAGTCATCTAATGTAGATCTAGTGCCCCTCACTAGGGAGACCAACAGTTTCTCACCGATTCGTCAATTCAAGCATTCAATCACTACGGAAACCATGGAAACAAAACAAGTTGTAATGCTGTGCTGTCTATCCATGAATGTCATTAGGGAGATTTTTTCACCATAAAACCACTGCGCAAAGTGCACAAACAAGAAGGTCCTTGCACAACTAAAAGTGCCACATAAAGTACACAAATAGCAAGAGTATTCTTCGTTCCAAAAGTACTGCATGAAGTGCACAAACAACAAGAGTATTCCTTGTTCTAAAAGTACCATGTAAAATGCACCAAGAAAAAATTATTCCTCATTCTAAAAGCACAGCATGAAGTGCACAAATAACAAGAGAAACCTTTGTTCTAATGAAAAGCAATGCGCGAAGTGCACAAACAACAAAAGCATTCCTTGTTCTAAAAGCAACACATCTCCCTAATAACATTCATGGATAGACAGTACAGCCTTTTGACTTGTTTCGTTTCCATGGTTTCTGTAGCAAATATTCATGAATTGACGACTTGAACCACTTGTACAAATTGATACACCACCATCTGGGGTCAGTTCTCTCAAAGTGGTGAAAAAATATCAAAGTCTCCCTGATGACATTCATGAATAGACAGCACAGCCTTATGACTTGTTTTGGTTCCATGGTTTCTACAATGAATATTCATGGTTGACAAATTGTATGACTTGTGATTACATTAGACGACGTGTATCAAGCCATGGTATTGGACAACCCTCAATGCAAAACAGAAACAGCCTTTATTAAACACCCTTACACAATCTTTTACAAGCATTGCTTTGTTGCTGAGAACGTACAAACATTTACAAAGAGCGATATTGCTTATCTAAGACACCCACACACACAAAATATTTCATAAATATTATAATAGCCTGAAAATCCATGATTTAACTACTTACTTACTTATATACATTTACAACCGAAGCTTTTAAATATAACTTACTCATGTTCCGAGATGGAACTGTATTTCTTTGCCCGTCTGTAGATTAAAAAAATAAAATCATTTTGTGTTTCAAGTGCATTTCATTTCATCAATACATACACTGTTCGAAACAGGAGTACACAGATTAAAATGAATCAGATATACTGACATTACTTTCCTATCATCAAGGAAAAAACAACAAATAAATGATTAATTAAATACTATTCTCACAACAGGTTTTTTCGGTAGTTCCTCATTACGTATTTTTAAATATTTAATGAAACTGAGACAAGGAGAAAACAATTATGAAACATTAAATTGCCGGAAGATATTAAATTGAAATTGTATCCATAGCATACATCAAAAACCTCTTGAAAGTAGACGAATTTGAAAACTGAAAAAACTGTACCACGTATATCCTGTTTCAAATTATAAAGTACTCACTTGAGTCTATGGTAATTTGTTACTTTATAAAACAATTACATACCTTAACTCACGCTAAGAATATTCACAAACCTTTTTCCAATGACAACATAAAATCCTTATTATGCCTCAGCTCTCTCATAAATTCTTCATTCTGCAAGACCATGGCCAATTTTTCATCTTCCAGAAATCTTTCTAGCTCTTGGTCGCCCATACTGTCGCCAAAAACGCCGGTAGAACTCGTTGAGGGAGGACCGAGACGTAAAAAATCATCCGGCAATTTGCCCAGTAATGGTGGGTTCCATGCCGAGTAAGGTTTAGCAGGAAGCGGCCGAGATGGACTCCCAGAACTCCGCGAAATTTCTTGATCTCGAGGTGTGTAAGCTGGAGGCGGTTCTGAACGATCCACATCACTGTAAGAAGGTAAAGGGGGAAGATCAGACTGCGTTGAAGATGTCCCTTCCATGTCAAGTCCCATCGATAACAGTTGATCAATGGTAGCATCTACCAAGCCGTTGTTAGCGCGCAAAACTGCTTCTATAACTTCCCGATCCACGTTAGGAAACATGTGTTTAAAGTCGTTCATAGCCGCAGTGAAGTCCAGTTGTCTTGGCTCGTTATTAGCTTGACCAGTTGTCCGTGGCCTTTCAGGAGGACGTTGCATAAGGTTAGTACCTCCGAACATTGGAACCATTTTCAATTCTGGCTACTGTAGGTTAACTTTGCGTCGTCGAAACAAGAAAATACCGTTAATAAACTTCTGTTAGTCTGTCTTTCAGTTAAAGGAGTGACCAAAGTTTTAGTTCAAGATTTAGCCCAAGGAATACGGCATTCCACGCAGAAATTCTGTATTTGTTTTTAAGCGGAAGGCCTTCGGTTCCTGTGTCTATGAAACTATGAAACTGACTCAGTTTCCTTAGTGTCTTATTGTCACCAGGCTCTGTCGGACAGATAGGGTCGAGCGACCCTGGCAGAACATGCAAGAGGGCCGAAGGCTCCTTTGAAACATTTTTCAAGCCTCTGTATTCATACCAAAGATTTTAGTGAAGGATCAAAACATCCAATCAGTGTAATCAAGATAAAATTTTTACACGGTGGGTGACAGTAATGTAGAATCAATTATTATTTGAGCGCTCAGGGTAACTAAAATTAGTATGAATCTATCAGCGTTTTTCACAAATACGGCAGTATGATTGGCTTCGCTACTCGCTGTCTATTTCGTGATAATTAGGTCCGACATAATCGATATTTGTATTCAGAAAGAAGAGAATTCTAGCTCGGAAGGTAACCCGCTCTTCGACAAATTTGTTGTACTTTGTATGTAAACAGAAAGCACCTGTATGGATCACACATTGAAGTCAGGAGAATGTAAGAAATGATCAACTACAAAAGAGGCTCTCGATTGTTAAACAAATTCTCCTTGTCAGCATCTTGGGAAATGTATATAAATCAGTACAGACAACATGCATATTTGTATTAGGATTTAAAGGATTAGATCATGAAAACTGCGAAAAACTGCAATTACCACCGGTGTTTTGACGTGTGTGTTCTCTTTAAAACATCACTGTTGTGAATGAATTAATAATTTTCTTTTGTAGCTACGTACAAAAGTATTAGGACTAGACCACTTTGAGCGAAAAAAAAAGCTTATTACAAGGGGTTTTTCTCGAAGCTTTTGTTCTTAATAACTTCAGTCACCCCGCCGAAAGTCATTTTTCTGCCGTGCCGCCTTGTGGCGTGATTACGTCAATTAGTTATAAAGGAAAACTGTGAGCTGCCAAAGTGATACCGCTATTTCAAGCACTTGAATAATGAGAAGGAAGCCGAGCCTTATAAATGCTTTCTTAGTAGTTTCTGGGGTAAGTACAGCGAGTAAGCTAACATATTTTTTATTTTTTGGGGGGCACAACAGGGGTAACGAAAAGTACCTTGAGGTATAGTGGGTGTGATTTTTTTTTCAAATTTCAGTGAGTCTGTTAGTCTCTTCCATAGAAGATTTTTCCCCGGTACGAAGTCTGAAAGTGTTTCTAGAATTTTCAAAGTCTAGGAGTTGATTTTGTTGCCGAAAGATCTCGGTCAAAAGGCAGCTTGGAGTAGCGCAGATATTTCGCTCTGAGCGACAAAAATCTTCACTTACACGATCGCTGTTGTTTGGCATATGTTGCAATTGTAAAGTAGAAGCTGTCATATCTCAGTAAAGAACGTCGCCAAAAGAGAGAATTGCTATCTAATGCAACATTTTCCTAACATTTATAGCGTATTGGAATAATCAAAACAAAAATAAGGAGTGGTGAAGTTTTGGAGTTGGATTCTCCAACAGCAATCTTAGCGCCTCTCAAGTCTTGGATTTTGAATCATTCCCCTATATAGCATAAGAATCCTACCAAATATTATAACTTAAGAATATTTTAAATATTTTCAGAATTATCTTAGTATTTTTTCAAAACATTAGTGGGCTCTTAGAAAATCTATTTCAAACTCTTAACATGGATGACAATGATATTTATCGTGTTTGCTTATCAACAGGAGTTTTAACAGTAATAATTTCTCAAGTAAACAAACCTCCTCGTTTCTTTAATTGCGACGCTGGAATTCTATTTTTTTATTTTTTTTTTTTGGATTTCTTCAATTCCTCTCTTACATCCTATTTCCAAAGAAAGTCTCTTGGAGTATTGAATTAAATGATTATACTTAAGTTTTAAAGACTGTCACGGCTGAGATATTTTTTTACACGTTCAATGACTGCAGGTGATGACCTTTATAAACAATGGAACTTCAACCTCACTTCTCCTTGAAGCCACAAAAGTAACGAGTGGACCTATTTATGCAGGGTAAGAACTTGTCACTGAAGTACAACAGCGTTAGTGCAAAACTCATTGTTGTCTTCGGACAACTTTTAAAACTAAATGAATAATGAAAAGATAAAACTTTACTTCACCTTTTTTTTTTCTTTTGCACTGAGTTACTTCGTTAAAAATAGCATTGAGATCAACGTGTACAATTCGACCTGAAATTGTCTCTGAAACGATAATTGAAAACAAATGTCCGTCACCAGCCTTCAATTAATGTGGGAGTTAATTTGTTTCATTTGTAGAAAAAATGTTTGCAGTCTTCAAGACCAAAGTACCCAAAGTTTTGTTTACACTTGATATTTCAATCTAACTTTTTCACCCAATGAAGATATTTCTAGTCTGTTTTCTAAAAATAAACTTCCTCATTAAATTTTACCAGATAGATTGAAATACGTCGGTCGTAATAGCAGTTTTCCAGAATTGAATATTATTGGAAAGCAAACCAATTTTCAATTGAAAAGTTATGTAGATTCAAGAATGCTTAATGAGTAAGGTAACGAAAAAGGACCAGTGTATTTTTTCAATCCCTAAAACAAAAAAATTATGTTATTTAGGATGAAAGTGCATCTAGCTTTTTCAACCTTAATCATTCTTCAGTACATTACACTGCATTTCTGTTGTGGAATTCGAATCTAAGCTGTTGTTCAAAAACTTTATCTTCCTTTTCTTGTCTTAGTTATACATAATTTATGCTATGCAAAAATGGTGTTTACTTTCTTAAAATATGTTTTCTTTTTTATCAATTTCGCCCTCATGTTACAAGCAATCGACAAACGATAATTGGTTTTTAAATGCCGAGCCTACAAATTTTATAAATAGATTCAAATTCAAATCAGTTTAGGATTATGTAGGTGTATCATCGTAAGAAATGTTTTTTTTCTGACCGAGCGATATGCATGTCTATATTAAAACCATGTGTTTTTGCTTTCGAAGATGCGAAGTTATCTTTACAACAAATACAATTCTTTTACAAAAGCCAGAACATGTGGATAAAAAATTGAATAGACGCAGCTAGGGGAAAACTTCTGTTTAAACAGCTGTACTACATTTGAAATGTTGTATACAGTCCTTAATTTAGAATTGGTTATTCTAAGAAATAAAATCATTGAGCTAAATGCTTTTGAACGAGCCCGTGGTTGTATTGCATGCTGCATCAGCAGAAAAGCCGTAGAAAGAGAAGTGAGATTGTCAAATAGGTAATTTAGATCGCACATCCGGTGGAAGAAAATTCTGGTAGGAGATGCTTTTTTTCGTTCTCCTTGAAGCAGCTTTTGTGATCAAAGCAAAGCCTTGAAAAGAAATTAGAACAGCCAAATACTAAGACTTCATTATAGTTCAATCTTTTATTTGTTTGCTATATCATTCCCCCACAAATAGCAAAACTGCATATATCCAAGCCAACATCACACACCAAACCCCAGCAATGGACAACACAACTGAAGTGGTTTTACTCTTCACGTTACCAAGCTACTTCAAGTACGAACAGTTCACCTCAAACGGATCACGTCCCCCTAACAACGTCAC